GATTTGAGTTGCTATCTTTTGAAAAACCAGTTTTTTTTTTTTTTTTTTTTTTTGGCTAAAATTGATCAAGTCATTAAGATTTTTGTGTATTTTTATAATATCTCTAGTTTAAATGGCTTAGGACCATAATCCACATATATATATATATATATATATATATATATATATATATATATATATATATATATATATATATATATATATATATATATTTTAAATAATAACCACACCCTAGGTATAACAATAGCCATAAGATATAACATCTGTCAAAAACTTCCTACGATGCCAAAAATCGATCCAATATACTCAAATACTTTTTACCTCCCATAAGTACCTCAACTAACCTTGCATGAAAATTAAAATTATTGAAATCACCGACATAGTTACTATAAGACCAAAAGGAGTGGCTACGGTGGAGACTATAGTCTCCCTACCACATTATCACGAACACTACCCCTCCACTGCCGTCTGGGTGCGGTGGAGGCCGCACTACGGTACTCCATGGCCGCGCTTCCTTCTCCATTTTCCAAACCAATTGACGGTCATAATTTTAAATAAATATATTTTTTTTCCTGTTTAACCTTTAACAATTCCTATTTAAACCTTTCAAACCTTATAATTTTTTTTATATATATCTTTCTACTACTTTTCCTCTCAAAAAAATTTAAAAATGTTGTCGTCCGATTCTTCTGAAGATTTTGATGTTACGTTTGATGTTGTTGTAGCTGCTGCTAAATTGGCGGAACAAACGTATGAAGTTGCATGCAGTAGCACAGCCGGAAGTGCTGAACGGAGAACCCGGAGATATATTTACAGAAATCATGAAGAACAAACCAACTCTTGATACAAGACTACTTTCAAAAGAATGCCACTTTTCAAGGGTACTACTTCCGAAGAAGTTTCAGAATGTTCAAACCTTTGTACGAATGTATAGTCGAAAATCTAACGAGGGAGTGTGATTTTTTCCAACAACGTCCCGATTCTAGAAGTACACCCTGTTTCACTCCTTTACAAAAATGCACAGCTGCACTTCGTCAGTTAGCATATGGCATCACGTCTGATGCGTTGGACGAGAGTTTTAGGATGTCCGCTAGGACTGCACGAGATAGTCTCCATTATTTTTGCAAAACTATTATTCAACTTTATGGCCAAAATATTTGCGTAAGCTTACACGCAATGACATAATCAAATTGCAATCTCATAATACTAGCGTATATGGCTTTCCTTAAATGTTAGGAAGTTTAGATTGTCTACATTGGGCATGGGAAAGTTGCCCTACCTCACACCATAGTCAATTTACTCGAGATGATCATGGTCATCCAACGGTCATACTTGAAGTAGTGGCATCACATGATCTGTGGATTTGACATGTTTTTTTGGTTCTCCTGGATCGCTTAACGACATTAACGTTCTTAATCATTCACCTATATTTAACAACATATACTACAGATCTGTACCAGATTCTTCTGACCAATTGCGTGGAACACCATATAAATATGGTTATTATCTAGTTGATGGGATCTATCCTGGGTATGCAGTTTTTGTTAAATCATTTACGTTTCCGCATGATATTCGATGGAAAAAATTCAAGAAAGCTCAAGAAAGAGCTAGGAAGGATGTCGAGCGGGCTTTTGGAGCTCTCAAGAAACGTTGGTTCATATTGAAAAAACCAACAATTTTGTCAGCGAGGAAAAAATGCAGGAAGTCATGTATGCATGTATAATACTGCATAATATGATTATCGAAGACGAATGAAGAGTGATATGTGATTATGATGAGCATGAAACCATCCCCGAGACACAAGCAATAGAAATTGATGGCAACGAGTACATGGAAAAGAGAGCAGAGATCCGTTCCAATGAAACATTTCACAATCTCCGTATGGACTTGGTGGAACACATTTACGAGATTCAACACATTAACCTCAATTTGGATCCCCCGGATGACCCGAAAAACAACTTCTCGGAGGACGATTTCATGTAGTTCGTTTGGGTTTATTTATTTATTTATTTTTATTTTTCTACTTTTTTTTAAGTTTCTAGGTTTTTTCAGTGTGATGTTTTTTTTAAGTGATTGCAATGTAATGAGTTTTTTTAATTAATGAAATATTTTGTTTTTGATTAAAAATAAAAAAATTTATTATTCAAAAGAAAAAAATATTAAGTATGTCACCACTCCTTGGATGTGTCGCCGACGTGTCACTGCAGTTTCATAAGAAAATGTGACACCATTCCCTCCGGCCTAAAGAAACTGTCATGTATCTCTTTGTACCATCTCTAACAACATTCAAGTCCCCAAATAGAATTATTTTCAACTACGGTTAGTAAGTTAGTTATTGATATGATAACTTTTAAATAAAATTATTATTATTTAAAAAATGTATTACCTTTTATAAACTAACGAGGTTATAACCCGTGGGCACCACGGGTTAGAAATTAAAATTTATTTTTTTAATTAAATTATAACTTATTTATTTGAAATTGATAATTGATAATAAAATCTATACTAATTAAAGTGTATATGTTTCGCAGTAATATGATAATGACATAATTATTGGTTGAAATTACGAACCTTTAGTGGTTTGAATATGCAATTGGTATTTTGTATTTGTAGATATGCAAAAAAGTTATAATTTTATAAAATGAAATATAATTTTAACTAAAACGAATACTGAAATTTATATAAATAATAAAATTGTACAAAGGTTTTTACAAATTTCTAAAAACTTCTTTATACACAATATTTGATGTTTTATTTGTTAGTCTACCATCTTTATCTAAAATCAACAATTTTAATCCTTGTCTACTTTGAACTCTGGATAAAGCAACGTACAATTGACCATGTGTAAAAACAGGATCCTTGAGAAACAAACCAACCTTCGATAAAGACTGTCCTTGGCTCTTATTAATTGTCATTGCAAAACACACAGTTAATGGAAATTGTCTTCTTTGGAATTTGAAAGGGATCTTGTCTTCAGAAGGAGTTAAAGACATTCTTAGAATAGAAGTCTGGTTTCCAATATTACTTCCAGTTAAGATAACTGTCTCAATAACACGTTTGCCCAAAGATATAACCTGTAGTCTAGTCCCATTACATAATCCATTTTTCTGATCAATGTTTCTCAATAACATAACTGGAACACCGATTTTTAAAATGAGCTTATGGTTTGGCAGACCTGAGACTTTAAGACCATTTAAAACATCAGGTGACTATAAATTTGTATCAAACTTATCATGAAGAAACTCGGATCGGCATAGGCTATCTGTACTTAAGTATTCTGTTGGTTCTCCTGGAAACAATGACAACAAACGATCGTTTATTTCTTGGACAACTTCATTCTTGGGAGCAAGTATTGCTCTTTCTTGAAAATAATCAGGAATGTTGAAGTTTTCCAGTATAGAAGGATATACAAAACTAATTAATGAACCTATATGATCATGTGGATTAGTAATGACAATATCTTTAGGAATATCAACAATTGCTTCACCGTCATTCGGACCACCAAGATTACCTTCTCTCATGTCTAAAAGCCAAGTTGCAAAATCTCTTATTTGTTCAATAGAAGATGGATCGCTTCCAACTGTTAACCTCATGTTTTTGGTTAATTTATGAACTTTGCATTGTTGCCATAAATAAGAAGAACTTAAAGAAGCATTAACAATGTTTTGTCTACTGCCACCTGGAACAACATGTAGAATTTGTCTTAAATCACCTCCAAAGACAATCCCTTTCCCTCCAAATGGAATATTTGAATTCGTAGGATTGACACACTTTAATATATCCTTCAGAGTTCGATCTAAAGTTTCGAATGCATGCTTGTGAACCATGGGTGCTTCATCTCAAATGATCAATGAGGTTTTTCTTACTAAACTGGCAAGATCACTCTTTGGATTTATTCTACAAAAAGAATCCTCGGTAAGATTTATGGGAATTATAAACCGAGAGTGTGCTGTCCTGCCTCCAGTCAATAATAATGAAGCTATCCCACTTGAAGCAACATTTAAAACAATCTCACCTTGACCTCTAATTGCTGCAGAAATTGTCTTCCAAAGAAATGTCTTACCAGTTCCACCATAACCATAAACAAAAAATACACCTCCCCTATTATGTTTAACTGCATCCATGATATCAAGAAAAATGTCTCGTTGCTCGTTTGTTAATGCAACAAACAATCGATCAAACTCGTTCTTTAAATTGGGTATGTCATAATCTAGCTCCTCAGTAATAAGACGATTGTTTGAAGATGAAACAAAATCAGCATCTGGGGAGCTAGATTATGACATACCCAATTTAAAGTTGATCTTCCATAGTGTTTAAGACTGGAATTGTTACGGAGTAAAATTTGTTCTATCTCAAACAAAGTCAAGTTTTTAAGTTGATCTTCGTTTAGTGATAAACCTATACGGAAAATAATTTATTAATCAGAACGTATCAAAATAATAATTGATTGGGACATAAAATATAATTGAATTTATACTAAAATTGTAGATGATACTCTTTTAATAATAATGAGATAAAGTTATATTACCTGGAGACTTTAATCTCTGTTGTTGACTGTAAAGAATTCCATCTGATAGGTATTCCCAAGTGTTTTGCCAAACTATCTCTGGTTTACACAAACTGTTGGACAATAGCATCGTAGCAAATAAGAACCGTAGATAAAAACCAGATCCAGAAAGATTTGCTTCCTTAATTGCATCGATGAATTCTTTGTCATCATCTAAAAGTCCAAGAGTAGAACATGCATCTTTAAAAGAAGAACATAGTTCACCATTGACTGTGCGAATTTCTTCGAATGATTTAGGACCTTTCACTTTATTTAAAAGAATTCTTAAGAAATATGTTTCTCCAAGTTTAGGTGAAACAGAGTGAATTCTACCAACCGCATATCCAACTTTCCTTGGCTTCCAAATCAGATCTTTACGATGCCAAACAAACTTTGTAGGAAATTCAACATATATCGGCTTTCGTGCTTCTTTACTGATTTCATTACACTTCATCTATGATGTGAACATTGAAGAAGCAACTGAAGTTCGGTCAAGAACATCTTCAATGTCATCGTCTGCCTCATATACAACTTGTTGTTGATCGGGAAGATGAAAAGGTAGTCTAATCACATCAGGATATCTATAATGAACATCGTATTTAAAAATCCGCCATGATGCTTCACATGCAGAAATATATCTACAATCATAGTGTTCTTTAATTTCATCCACTGCATCGTTGTTATCGGAATCATTATTGCTTGGCACCATAGAAACAGTAGCTCTATTAGGACCCTTGTTTATATATTTAAACAAATACTTTATGGAAGATCCCTGCTTGCACCATTCAATATTAATGTGTGCCTGATATCTTTTCAACAGATATTTGTTGTATGGAACAACATTTTTGTTATCTAACTGAACACCAGATTTTTCAACAAAATGTCCATCATTTTTTCTCCTATATAAGGGAAAACCATTTGAATCAACTGAAGTATGATCACAAAATTGCTTTGGAAAGTTTTTAGAACACTTTCTGTCGACCATGCATGGGCAATTCAAATTTTCAGCTCCACATGGACCATGAATCATGAACTCCTTGACAAGTGAATACAATTCTGGATCATCATCGATATTTGGAATCTCAGCAGAAATAATGGGATCGATATCTTCAACAGTTGGAAGCTTGCAGTTAGCATGCATAAACAGACATACATGACTATGAGGTAAACCTCTTTTTTGAAATTCAATTGTATAAACCACTGCATGCAAAATATACAAATAAGTGCTTGGTGATTACGCAAATTCTCATAAGACTTACATCTAAGAATTTTTTGTTGGTTACGTATGAAAAATAGTCTGTCACTTTCAATCATGGTATATCCATCAACCAAAAATTGTTGGAACAACCTTTTTGCATTAAGAATCAGTGAGAACGATTGATCCCTGTCTTGAATTCTATAAGCGAAAAATTCTCTCATTGTACAGGTTGGGCGCTTGATATTACTTGAAGATGTAATACCTCTATGAAGGATATCAACTCTGTAACCATCATCGCCATATGGAAATAGTAATGGATACTGAAGAGCAAGGTAAGAAGGATGTAATTCACTGATACGCTGTAATAATCCTGATGAAGTTTGAACAGCGATATCTCTTTTTTCAATTGAATCACAAAAATCACCGACAACTAAAGCTGCAACCTCAGAAGAAGTTGGTAAGTTATACGTCCTTCCATCTTGTTCTCTTTTTCCAATTAATTTTAACTTCAAATTAACAAAAGGATTTTCATGAAGAGTGTCTCTTACCATCCTATAAGACTTGACCAACGCATTGTTCGAATCTAACATAACCTTCAAAAATTCTATAATTTGGAGATCATATGATCTTGAAGTTGATGTAGAATTGCTCGTTGGTCCACTGAAAATATTATCGACAATTATTTAATATTAGTAAAAAAATTAATGAATTGAAGTGAGTTATTAAAAGATAAATGCAAAAATATACCCAAAACTTGTCGATCTATTTGAAATCTCGTTCTCCGTATCATATATGTATAACTGACAGAATTTCGGTCTTGAACCAGGTGTAGGTAAAAGACTTCCCATACTATGATAATTTTGACCACTAAGTCTGAATATGTACGGTGCGTTGCCTCTGTTGATGGATGAATCAACTTTGCCTCCCATCGATGTAAACGAAAACATTGAATCGTAACGTCGAATGTTCTTCATGAAGTGTTTGCTTTTTGAATCTACCGATCTATACAAATTTCGGTAGGATGACGGTGCTTCTTTTAGGGGTGGTAGCTCAACTTTGCCGTAACCACAACACATGGAATAAGACGTATTGCCTTTTTTTTTTGCCCTCTAACCGATTCATCTTTCCATAATTTTGCATGACAAATCTGACATATAACAATCTGGTCTCCATGATCAAAGTAATCTGTTGTATGCAAAAAATATAAAAATTAATAAATAAAATAGAAAAAAATTAGAAAAAAAATTAATAGTATTAAAACTTTTCGAATTATGATCACCTTTGGATATACCGCGGAAAATATCTTCAATAATAAGATCATCTATGTTTTCTTCATCTAATGTCAAGTCAAACATAGGTATAGCGGATATAGAATGAGTCTTCCTTTTTAATTGATGTTTTCATTTTGGTAACTTGATTGATGAAGAATTATGGATTATTGTCGAACGATTGCTGGATGTCGTGGCATTACCAAACACTGAATTATTTTTGTTAATAGATAGTGGTGTTTGAAGGTTATTATTGAATATATAACTGCTTGAAAAAAATACAAATTACAAGGTTAGCAATTGGTATGATTTATATAAAAAGTGAAACATATATTTTTAAATTGGTGTATTTAGAAATACGTACCATTTGCAATGTTAGAAAATGGAGTTCTAACATTTATATTTGTTGAAGGAAAATTCCGAATTATTGTCGAACGATTAGTGGATACCGTGGCGGTACCAAACACATAATTATCTTTATTAGTAGATAGTGGTGTTTGAACTTTATTATTGAAAATATAATTGCCTGACAAAATTAAAATACAAATAAGAAAGTTAGAAATTGATATGAGTTATATAAATGTGAAGCATATATTTTTATATTTGTGTATATAGAAATACATACCATTTGAATTTGTTGAAAAGGGTGTTGTAACATTTATATTTGTTGAAGGAGGATTAATAATTGTATGTTGATATACAAATGATTTGACTGAGTTTATATTTTCCTTGTCTAAGGTAACATTTGTATAGTTATCTGTAGATATTAATCTTTGACAACGATTGTCTGTTATATAATGAGAAAAAATAGTTAGTAATAATAGAAATAATATTAATTATTAAAAAAGAATAAATTAAAGAGTCTTCAAATTTTTATATAAAATTTTATATTAAAAAATAAATTGTAAGAAAAACGAATATAATTACCGTTATTATTTTACATGTAAGAAGCATGTGTAAAAGATGAATTCTGACGGGTTGATGAGGTAGGTAATATTTTGGATTTTTTATTATCCAAATATAATTTCCTAATTTTTCTCCTCTCTTTAGCGTTTGTAGATTCTTTAGTGTTATTTGAACCTGTAAAATAGTAGAAAACAATTTATTTGAACCTGTAAAGTTAAATAAAATTTTATTTTAATTTAATTATATATTTAAAATAATAATAAATAACATATTCAAAATAAATTAATAAAACATATAATCAATGAAAAATAAATTAAGAAAAATACCGTATTGGGTACAATGAATAACATGTGCAATAGGTGTACGATGAGAAAATGATGTGGTATATTGTTTTTTGGATTTCTGTTATCCAAATATAACTTTCTGCTTTTTCTTCTCTCTCTAGCGTCCGTTGCATTCATGTCATTGTTTGGTACGTCATCACAATAATAGAATACGGTTAAAAATAAAATTAATAATTTAAAAGTAACTGTTACAGACAATTGGTAGCTCATGTAATATGTATAAAATTGAATACACAAATTGAGTAATAATGAAATAGCAAATAATTTGGGGCCGGAACGGGTTAAAAGATATTTATAGGATAACCATAATAACGGTTTGGAATTAGCTACCCGTTTACTGAATATTAACGCTGGTAAAAAATGATCATTCCGGACCAAATAGTCATTTTTCCAAAAAAAAGTTATAATTTACAAAAACAACAAAAAAAAAAAGGTTAGATTACTGAATCGTAATAAATATTAATAATCTAAATCTTATTAAATAATCAATATCGAAACTAATACATACTTTATACCAATCTTTAAATATTAGGTTTTTAAAAATCAATTTACGCTTGCATGTCATACAGTTTATATGTATGCATTTTTCTAAATTGAGATTGAAATTATTTCCCTTTCAAAACCAATAAAATACATGGATTTATCATTTAAGTCTACTTTAGTTAATCTAATCACAAAAGGAATGTTTACACCGATTTTTTAATCACTTAGTAATACAACTTCATAGATGTCTTTTTGGGACAAACGATGTAAAAGAGAAAACTGAGAAGGTAACATACCTTCAAACGATGGAGGCACTTGTGCAGAATCAAAAGGAAAATTGTCGAAAGAGGATCAAGTTGCTGCGGTTACAGAATGAAAGCGGGGAAGTTTAGGCTATTATCGAACCGATGAAAGGCTTCTTAATATGCGTATTCAACAGGTAAAAAATTAGGGCTTTTTTTTTATGAAGATGAAATCTGCTTGAAATCGGATGGAAAAATTTCTCCTTATTCAATCCTGAGGTCATAAGACCTCTTTATGTATGTGAAAAAATAAATCCCGAATATCTCTCTGAAAAATTTAAGATCCCTCTAGTGTAATTCCAATTTCGTATTTCATACTTCCCGCTAGTGTAATTCCATTTTGTAAATGAGTTTATTTGTAGTTTCTAAAGTTTTTACAAGCAAGAATTATAGAATTGGATTTTGCAAACTCCTTACATCGATTAGGCAGCATTAGTGATGCAGGTTATTCTGTTATTTTGTTACACAAAATAAAAGTGTGTTTTAAGGGGTAATATAAAAAAATCTTGACAATATGTGTGATATTTGACTAACTTGACCACTTTTTTGATCGTTAGCAGAAGATGAGTTATTTATTAATAAAGTTTAAGCCTCTAGAGAGGGGGTATTTTGGGAATTTGTTTCAAGAATTCAGGTTAGAAGAATTGAGTATTAGGTGTAAATGCATAATGAATTGCATGTTTAATGAATCAGTGGTTTCTTAATCTGACCAAGTTAAAGGAGAGGGGCATTTTGGGATTTTTTTTTCAAGAATTCAAGTTAGAAGAATTCTAAACTTTAACCCTTGTTTCATTATAAGAAAAAGTCCATACATTAACCTGAATTTACTATTAGTCAAGCATTTACATTTTATTGTACATTCTACCTTTTGAAGTAATATTTATCAACCACACATTTTAACTACTTGACACCACAAATCTTTAGTTCGTCCATGTCTCCATCAATTTTTTTTATTGTGACTTGTTCATCTTTTTTATAAATCATAATAAATTCGTAACTGTTAGATTCTACTATAATAGTAGCTCATTAACAGTTTATATCATGATAACATACAAACATAATTTTGATGATCAGTTCTAAATGTGCCCTCTCAGGTAACTCATGTATAATACTTTAAATCGAACCTACTATCATTGCTTAAATATTGTTAATGTGCCCTTTCAGTTCTAAATGTGCCCTCTCAGTTCTAAATTTTGATGATCTGTCCGGAACCTAAAAAAAATCATACATTTTAATATAACGCAGTTTTGAAAAATTACTATGATTGGTTTTAAAATATGCAAAAATCTACAAAAACGTATATTTATTGCCATAATATAAGTATTGCTATAAATAGAGTCCAGTTTTGACAATTCACTTTGGGAATTGAACATATCTTAAAACAATTCATTAAACAGTGAATATTTTTATGGTCATTCGTTTTCTATATAAAAAAAATCAGTAATTTTCATTCGTTTTCCCTTTTAAAGAGGTACCAATGACTTTAAATAATCTAAACCAAAAATATATGTTTTTAGACTTTTTACATTATTTTTTTCTGTATATATTTTTTAAAATGAAAATTCAATTTATTACACATGTTTTTCTTTTTATGTTACAGTGTATCATTAATATTGTATTTATTTTCCTTATTTATGTTTCTGAGACCTTCATTTCTATAAAAAAAAAAACTACCGTAAAAAATCCAATATTTACAGTAGCAAACAATCTAACAACCTTGAAAGTACATCATTGTTTTGTTGATAAGTGATTCTCCTGTCATTTCATTTCAAAAAAATAGTCATTGTATCAATAGAAATGATTGTTAATAAAAAAAATGCCAAATTTATGTCATAAAAAACCAAACATGACATCTGTTAATAAAGATTGTAGTTGGAGAATATTGCTTATTATCATTATAAATGCAGGAGCTATAGATAACTCTCTAACTGACCAGGCATTAATCGATGGCTGCTCATTACTTCCTATGATCACTAAACTTGGTGATGAATATATGAAGTGGGCGAATCTTTACACCATGGATAAAAGACATAATCAAATTATAAACGATCATAAACAGGTATATTTATTTATTTTATAGCAATTCTCATCATATGCGAATCCAAGAGTTATGTTATCAATAAGCATTCATTTTAGGGATAATTATGAATGTAGCATGAAACAACCATTTTAAAAATAATAAGAATTCAAAGGAAACAAATGTTTGAACAATGAAAAACCACAAGGTGAAAAAACCAGAATGAAAAAATTAAAAGAAGTAATTGTTAATGTAAATGCAAAATGGAATACCAATTCAATTCCCCACCAAAAGATAAATCAATCATTTTTCTCCAACTTTACCTTCAACAACTGTTTTCCTGGACCATCTGGAGATATTTTTGGAGTTTTTGATGATGATAAGTGATCATTCGACTCTAAATCAAAAACTTCTTCCAGATTTCTCTTTAAGATCGATGTTGTGGTTAAACTCTTCATCGGGCTTGTTGTCTCGTTTTTGTCGAGAGTGGAAGGAGTAATGTTATCGTCCGTTCCAGAAATTGCATCCTAAAAAAATTTAATCATATAATATAATTATTTAAAAAATGGAATAGTTTATTAGCGAATATGTGAAAATTTAATATGTAATTAACCTTTAAATTTTTGATATCTTGAGATTGCAAATCGGCTGAACCAAAATCTAACAATTGTGAGTTAGAAGGTTGTATATTACAAAAAATTAACAATTAAAAATAAAATAATGTACTAAAAAGTAAAAGAATATATAAATAAAAAACAACCAAAAATAAGTAATATAATAACCTGTAAATCGTTCAACTTATTTTGAAGTTGTTCTATTATACTCGCATTGTCACTGATTCTAGCAATACCATACTGGTTGCTTTTTTTGGACACATTGAAATTTGTAACTGAAATTTTAAAGGGCAATTTCAAACCTTTCAATGCATTTATTTCACCCGGATAGAAATCAAGACTGTCTCCACGTTGCAATTAAAAATAATTAAAAAAAATTGTTTAAAGTGATTGTATATAAGAATATTTTTTTGATTATCATTAAAAAAGGGAAAGTAACCTCGATCATTTTTTTAACCAACTCTTTTGCTGATTGCTTCAACATATACTTTCCATCTCTCTCAAACATGGTTAGGGTTAGAGTTCCAGTATTATCTTACACACGTATAGGAATCATAAACCTATAAAAAAATAAAATCAAAAACAATATTAAATTTATGATAAACATTGATTATTATATAGTTAATTATGATTCAATTGTAAACTAACAACCTTGGAACAACCGAAGTGGCATCTTTTGTGCAATTTCCATTATGACATACATAAGATTTGGTTTGATGAGCATCACTTTCATCTGATGGAAGTGATTTCCTAAAACCGTTGGTACATGCTTGATAATACCATTTTTTATTCTGTAAAATTCCCTTTATAGTGCCCACTATAATGAAATCACATTTCTACAAATAAAAGATGTGTACTTTAAATAAACATACATAACACAAACATAAAAAAGCACAAGCACACAATCAAGAAATTTAAAACCAACAATTTAGATTGAAACAAACAATAAGACATCAAATACCTCAACGGGTTCCCAAACCTCAGCGATAGCATTCAACTTATTTTTTACCATGAAATCATCATATTCAGAAAGTTGATTGGATGGAATAACTGAAAATGTATTTGTAGATGAATCTGGACCATCATCTCCATCCAAACTGTTATGTATACAAAATAATATATTAGTCACGTAAAGTATAATTGTATAATAAACACAATAAAACATAAATTACCTTTTGTTGAAATGAATAATTTCATCTATGTCAGAGTTAATGAACAACTTGGAAGAGGTAAAGTATGTGTTTACACTTGGACGATCTATAAAGAAAATATATAAAGATTAATTTAATGATGATAACATAAATATTAAAAACACTAATAAAATAATCAATATACCTCTAAAAACGTTAATCTGACCAAATTGAAGAATAATCACGATACGACGATTATGTGAATTGTTATGTATATACTCTTGCATCTTGTACGCATAATCACCCCACAAATAGACACGAAGTTGCAAGCCTCTAAAAAGTAAATTATTTATCAAAAAATGATATATTAACATAATAAAAAAATGTAAAAATATAATAAAAGCAACTTTGCATCTTGGATGTTGATGTTGAGCTTGTGTTTTGATTTATCTGGATGATCTCGTTGTATCTCAGCAAGTGCGACAACTAAACCCATAACATCTATAAAACAAAAAAAGGCAAATGAAAGTTATGTTGGGAATTGGAAAACATAGTATTATATTTAAACAGATAATGATATGTACTAACCAACATATGTATCTTGAGGATGGGCGAATGATAAAATGTTTTGATAATCAACAAATGAAAACCCAAACTCATATCCAGAAAAATCGTTACACTCTGTAACAACGGTTTCTTGGACGAATGTGAGTTTCTGATCTTGAGGAGTTAACTTAAAACCACCTATCTTCAGTGCTGCAAAGTTTGGACCTTTGATGTAAAATGCCATGCCTTCCTTTACTATATTTTTGAATTGATATATGTTTCTTTTGGAGACCGTTGCTTGGATTTTGTTCCCCTAAAAATATTTAATACAACAACAAAAACTTTAAAAGTAATTAAAAATAACGAAATATGTGTAACAAATATATAAAATTAATTTTTGTAAGGTACATGTTCATCAATTAAGATCATTTCAATTGACCAAATTTCATTTTTTTTGTTGAAACACATTTGATGCCAAAGTTGTATGACACGAAGCTTGAAAGTCAAGTCATCCCTGGTTATATCCACATCAGGTATCAAGGTAAGATTTGATGCTGCCATTTTTCTGCAAAAATAAGTAGAAGAAAGAAAAATTAATAAAATAGTTGAATTTCATATCATATACTAAATTGTAAATAAAAAACTACCATTATTTCTTTAAAACATAAAATGACAATTATGACATTTTATATTTATGAAAGGACGAAATTGCCTTTTCAGTAAATTAAATGAAAAATAAAGTTTCTGTTATAAAACTGTTAGAAAAGAAAAGTATGATAATACAATATGATAATAAGACAATAAATAATATTACGTTGCTATTTTAGTAAAAGATTGAAAAAACAAAAATCTCTGTTATAAAATTCACATAATTGAAAATTATGATGCTATAAATGAAAAAATTGAATTTTTAGAATGCTATTACATGGGAAGTTCATTGTTTTAATGGTTGTAACATAAATATTATAAGAATTGAATTGTATAAAAAGGAGAAGAAGAAAGAAATAAAAAAAACAGAATGAAAACTTAACTGATGATGATTAAATATGTTCATCCTTTTTTCTTTTGTTTTTAATTTAGAATATAGAATATTGACAAAGTAGAAAAAGTCAACTGATGGGTTCTATTCATACATGTAAGAATCGAATTGCAAAAGAAGGAGAAGAAGAAAGAAATAAAATAAAAAAAAACAGAATGAAAACTGTTAACTGATGATGATTAAATATGTTCATCGTCTTTTCTTTTGTTTTTGATATATAATATAGAATATTGACAAAGTAGAATAAGTCAACTGATGGGTTCTATTCATACATGTAAGAATCGGATTGCAAAAGAAGGAGAAGAAGAAAGAAATAAAATAAAAAAACATAATGAAAATTGTTAAATGATGATGGTTCAAATTGTTCATCATTTTTTCTTTTGTTTTTGATATAGAAAATCGACAGAATGTAAAAAGTCAACTGATGAGTTCTATTCATACATGTAAGAATCGGATTGTAGAAGAAGTAGAAGAAGAAGGAATTCAAATTAAAAAAAAAAAGAATGAAAACTGATAACTGATGATGATACACTAACCTGATGATTTTGGAATTCTGTGGATGTAAGTTCTGTGAATGAAAGTGAAAGGCTGTCGAATTCTGTGGAAAGGGGTTAATATTAAGATGATGATATTGATGATACTTGATGATATAAACGTATAAAATTTAGCCTATAAATTAGGAATAAGTATCAAATTTATTTTTATATTGATTGATATTGATATTGATTAATTATATGCAAAGAAATAATTTGAATGGATTTGAATTAGGATATAAATAAGATAAGATAACTAATTCTGCATATTTAATTCTGCATATTTAATTTCTGAATATTTTGTTCCTATTTTTATGCATGTTAACTCCACCGATAATTTTTTTTATGCTTATATGTAGGGTTTTGAATGTGAACGGCTGCTGTGATTATATGGGCGGGAAAAGAAGATTGTAGAATAATGGAGGAATGACACGTGACATTATGTAGTGGTAATAGATGGACATGTGGCATTTAGGAGAGTGTTTTATTAGGCAGGGAGATTTTAAAAGAAAAACTATCCCGTTTATTTTAACAAAAACATTAGTATGTTTTAGTAATAAATTATTTTGTCTACATAAAATTAAAAAATTTCATATATTTCCTTATTAAACATCAAAATATTATATTTGTCTAATAGTTTCTAAATATCATATTTGTCATTTAGAAACTTTAAAATTTTCATTTTCGACCAAATCTTTATTTTTAGCATTTTATAATCATTTTAGATAATTATTTTTATCAGTTGACTATTGTAGTTTTTATAAACCTATTTTTTTTTTTTTTTTTTTTTACTCTTGTAACTTATACTTTAATCAATACATTTTCGTTATAATCATACAACGAATGAGAAGACAAACGGGCAACAAGTTGCGCCGCTAAGTCTTTTTGTATGGTAAAACCAATTTTTTTGAAAACTACATTCATAGATCTAGGGGATATAACATTGTTATGCATGATCTGTTGTACTGTACTAAGAAGCTCCACCGCATCCGGCGCAAGGAAACCAAACTTATCAAATGCAAAAGGTATGAACACGTGTTGATTTTCCACGTACGATTTTTCATCTTTGGAAACCTTACATGTAGCAGCTTTTAATGCAGCCTGACCCGCCGTGAAACCCCCGACCCTCCGGCCTTAGTAGTAAAATTGCTAAGGTGAATCTAAATTTAAAACATCACTTATATTTATATTGCTTAAATTGATAATTCAAAACAACTAAAACAACAAATTATTGGTAATCGCCTGATCGGCATTCAAAGTCACCGATGAATAATTAACGATACAAACACCTAAAACAACAAACTACAGTAGAATTTACGTTAAAAATACCTATTTGAAATAATCGACCAATAAGCAAACCAACAAAATAGTTGACTAACTGACCAATTAACGAAAAAAAAGGTAAGAATTAATAAGAAATTGATAAAATAAAGCATATTATATGATAAGCATACTGGTAATTTTTTGCTTTTTAATGGACAATTGGATTGTGCTCATCAACGTTATGGATTTTACCTTTATTGCTTGTCACGTGCTAAATTTCTATGTACCATGATTAATCTTGAATTAGAAAATATATATTTTGTAATATGATAATTAAAAATATATATGCATATACCCATAATGCTCACTAGATTATCAACGCAGAGAGGATGTAGTTGGTGGCGGTAGAATTGGTTTTTGGAGGTCGGACGTTGCGACCACTTGAAGTAGAGAGATGGAGAGGATTTTTTGTGAGAGAGATATAGAAAAAGATTTTGGACGATATTTTAAATTATTAAGGGTATAATTGTAAATTAATAAAATAGAAGAATTCAAAATGATTATAAATTGTTTTAGAATTGTTAAAATTAAGAATTTAAGCAAATTTGATGATATTTAAAAATTAGGTCAGACAAATATGTTGTTTTAATATTTAATATATATATCTATATATATATATATATATATATATATATATATATATATATATAATTCAGTCTAAAAAAATTAAAAATATTTTATATAAAAATCCATTTTTTATTAGTGTCTTGGTCATGACTCATGAAGTTGAAAAACACATAAACAAGTTCAAGAAACTAACAACTACCTTAAGAAATGATGATCTAAATTTATAGAATAAAGATGATATAATCCCTATAAATTAGTTGGTATACTTCTCGTTTTGAAACAAATAAAAATATACATTATCATAATTCTAAATTTCCAGCTATATATTGTAATAAAAAATCAATAGATCATATATGCATACTTGATTGATATATATTATAATTGAAATGATTTAAGACGAATCATATTCGGAAAATGACTTACAAGGATAACCATCTTTGTCGCTTTGTTTATATTTAGGCAACTTCTTTATTTTTGTACATATTCGAGCATTTAACTTGTTATATGTGCTCACATATTGCCATTGTCACTGGATATATTAGGTGACAATGGTAATATGTGAACAAATTAACAAGTTAAATGGTTAAATGTGTACAAAAAAAAAGAAAGTTTCTAAATGTGAACAAAAAGAAAAGTTAATTACCCTGATAAGTCATTTTCCCCATTTTTAATAGCAATCTAATTTTTCATATATGTTTTGTATTATTATTTTCAAACATTATTTTTAAAATATCCATAATTTTCTAAATATTAATTAAATATTTATCAATTTTAAACTTTACTTTTTAATTAATAAATATGTTTTTGTTTTGTGAAATGTTTTATATAGCCTCTATATTTTTTTTTCTTTTGTTTTGAAGCATATACAATATTTTTAAAGTAAATAGCATCTAACAATAAAATTAAATAAATTAAATATGTAACAATAAGTATGGAGGGTCTTTTAAAAAATTAAAAAAAAATATTACTTACCAAATAAAAAAAAACAAAAAAATCAATATAATGTAAATGTTTTAAAATTATTCCAAGTTTTTAATGCTTTTTACTTAGAAGTTTATAAACTTTTTTTTTAATACAACGTTTTAAACTAGTATTTAATGAAAGTATTTTAAATGTTATAAAAAAATATTAAATTGTCATATAAAATCTGTAAAACACTTTAAAATATTGTAAAGAAAGTTTAGAAATAATTATATGAAGGTTATAGAAAAATTGTATGAAAATGTAAAAAAAAAACAAGTAAAAAACTTGTAAGAGAATTTTAAAACATTTATAAAATATTTGGTTTAAAAGCACTTATAGTAAAATTATATGAAAGTATAAAAAAAGTTGAAAAAAAAAATTATAAGTAAAGTTTAAAACATTGTATTAGAAAAACCTATAAGAAAAAAAATATCATAAAAATGTTGTAAGAAATTATAAAAAAATTTAAGAAATTTGTAAAAAAAAATTGTTCACATTTAGATAACTTTTTTTTTTTATATATTTGACCATTTAATTTGTTAAATATGTAAACATATTTAATAAGTTAAATGGTCAAATGTGTATAAAAAAATAAGATACCTAAATGTGAACAAGACGAAAATATAATTACCCTCACATGTCATTATTCCAATCATATATATACTTTCAAAATCTTATAAACTCCATCGTTTTCTATCACTTTCATCATTTTCTATCACTTTGATTACAAGTGATATCAAACTCAATAAAATGAAGTAATAGTGTTTTTCTTTTGGTAGAATAGAAACTAGAAAGTGGCAGGGGCTTGAAGCAAATTTC